GGAGGAGAGTATCTGTTGCTATCTAAATAGCGGTATTCAGCAGGCAGTTGGACATGGAGATCTCAAATTCTAGTGAAAGTTATTGGCTGGAGATAAACCTCTGTGAATTACTAGCTTATACTTGGCAGTTGAATGCAGGAGGATGGAGGAGAAAAACCAGAGAGTGTGGAGAGCAAAGAGAAGATCAAGAGTAGGCACTCAAGGTAATCACCGTTTAAGGAGTGATCAGAGAAAACTGACCAGGAGGTCAGAGATATGGAAAGAACAGTTTCAAGCAGGGGAGATGGCCAACAAGGTGACATTCAACAGAGTGGTCCAATAAGATGAGGTCTGAAAGAGCTCTGCATGTGGCAGTAGTGGGAAGCCAGTGCCCACCTTTGCCCAAGAAGTTTCATCAGAGAGGTGGGGGACAGAGGCTGGGGGTGGAGGCAGAAATTCCTCCTTACCCTTTCAGGGAGTGTGACTGTAAGAGAAAGAGAAACTAAAAGCAGTAGGAGAGGGTACTGCTGAAGTAACTGCTGTGAGGAAGGGAGAGGGTAGTAAGCAGAGTCAGCAGCCCAGAGGCCAAGTTAAGTGGGACAGAAGACATTGATTTGTAATGTCACCAGTCTGAAAATTGAATAATTTCCTCCAGGAGTGCTCAAGCATTCAGTTGTAAGAACAGAGATGTAGATCAAAAGTAAAGTGTTCTTGGGATGAATTCTGCACAGAGGGTCAAGTTTATTGAATTTGCTGGCAAGAGAATGATTGAAAAGTTATGCTGTCACTGTGCTATCCAGTGAGATAGCCGCTAACCACTTGTGGTTATTTAAATTCAAATTAAATAAGATTAAAAATTCAGTTTCTCAGTCACTCTAACGACATATCAAGTGCTCAGTATGGACTGATGAGTACCATATTGGTCAGCACAGATATAGAACATTTCCATCATTGCAGAGAGTTCTTTTGGAAAGCACTGCACCATAGGGTCTAGAATAGATAGAGCTGAGGTCTTGCTGACATCAAAGAACAGATATAGGAGGAGTAATGAAGAGCAAATCTTGGAGGAAGATATCTTGTGGACAGAGATAGGAACATTGAGGTTTAAGATTCTAGGGGCAGAGCTGTTCTTGGTGATAAAGGTCAGGGTTATGTCATGGGAGAGGGGCTGCTGAAACAGCCTGTCGATGAAGATCTTTGAAGTGGAAAAGATCAAAGAACTTTGAGGCGATGTTGTTGGTGAACTCATCCATGCTGGAGTCTCCGAAATTGATAGCAATAATTGGTTGGAAAGAAAGGCCTTGCATCTACTGCCAAAATCCTCAGTGTGCAAGGAAGTAGTGACAAATGATTGGTAGCTAAAAGCAATGAGAGAGGGGGCCACCTCAAAAGGGAAAAGGTGTTGCTCAAGGTCTCCATGAAGTGTGATGAAACAAGCAATAGTTGAGGACAAGTGGCGTTCTTTGAGTAGGAGCAGATCTCAAGGAAAGCACAACCTTGGGGGAAATATTTGATGAAGAGGTTGAAGACATGGAAGAGTTTATTACAATGGAATGAGGCTCCAGAGGGCCTAGTAAAGCTTTAGAGGAAGTTTAGTAAAAGAAGGAAAATTCATGAGTACAGATAAGCATAGTAACATGAGGAAGAGACGATCTTTGAATACAGTCATTCACCACTTAATGACAGAGATATGTTCTGAGAATTGTGCCATTAGGTAATTTCATCATTGTGCAAACATCAAAGAGTGTACTTACACAGACCTAGATGGTATAGCCTACTACACACCCTGGCTATGTGGTACTCATTTTATGGGACCACTGTCACATATGCAGTCCATCATTGACTGAAACATTGTTATGCAGCACAGAACTGCATATAAGAGACACATTTGAGGTAGTGGCAGGGAAGACTGAAGTCCCAGGTGGGGTCCGAGACCTCAAAAGGTTAGAAGACTATAGTTTCTGTGAAACATTCAAGCAGTATATTGCTGAGGAAGTCCTCGCCTTTTTTTTTTTTTTTTTTGGTGAGGAAGATTAGCCCTGAGCTAACATCTGTTGCCCATCTTCCTCTTTTTGCTTGAGGAAGATTGTTGCTGAGTTAACATCTGTGCCAGACCTCCTCTATTTTGTATGTGGGATGCTGCTACAGCATGGCTTGATGAGCAGTGTGTAGGTCTCTGCCTGGATCTGGGATGCTGCCACAGCATGGCTGATGAGCAGTGTGTAGGTCCGCACCCAGGATCCAAACTGGTGAACCCCAGGCTGCTGAAGCAGAGTGGGTGAACCTAAACCATTATGCCATCGGGCCGGCCCCACCATCATATATTTTTGAAACAAACTCCTCCAGCTGATTAGGGAAGTGTCTAGATGGATCATTGAGTGCCTAGCTCCTGATATCATCATATTAACCATTTTCAACTAGACCCAGACCATTTCTATTACCCAAGTGCTGGGGAAAGGAGAGAATCTCAATGCTTACGCACCAATGAAGTCCCACTGAGTCCAGCAGCCGGGTGCCTAAGGTCTGCGGTCATAACAGGGGAGGCTGAAGCCACTTAGGGAAAATAGACCTTGAGCTAAATCTTCCCCATAGCGTCAGAGAGGGGATCAGCATGCGTAGCTCTGAGTGATATCATGGAAGCCAGTGGTTGGTGAGGAGCTATGCAATATAAATTGTGAAATACTTTCAGTTCCACTTAGAACAGGCATCAGAGTGATTTCCTCCCTAGGGTGAGGAGAAAGGGTTTGGGTGGGATGAATGGAAACAAAGTTTTCCGGTCATTAGCTTCTCTGTTCTACTCTGGAGACAGAGGGAGAGATCCTCTGTTGCAGCTTCTCACCTGGAGCTCTTGTGAAAATGCAGACCCTCCCATGATAGGGCTGGGATTGGGCCAGAGATTCTGCATTTCTGACCAACCCCTAGGGGATGCTGGTGCCTTTAGAACACAGACCACACTTTCAGTTGGTAGGTAAGAAGGGGAGCAGTTAGATGGATGGAAGAAAAAACCCTTATAATCTTCGGGAGGGGAGCCTGGGGTGTATAAGTTGGACCAGTATGTGAGTGGAGCGAGAGGGTGGGAAGGAGACAAGGGATCAACAAGATAGAAAAAGCCAAAGGCAAAGTCATTTCCAGGCCGAGAAGGCACAACTAACCACAGAGTAATAACATAACGTTGACCGTTAACTGGCAGAATTTTCAACTATATGTTTGGTTTCTCCATTAGGTTATCTGCCCTATATCATATGGCAAATTAGTCATAAAACTAGAATGAGTTTCCCCAGGGCTAGCTGCTAGAAGCTTTTACAGTAGGTGGCACTGTTACGTTATCATTCAGAGTTTAGCAAAGGCATAGCAAGAGCCCCAGGGTTGCCTTGTAAGGTCATTAGTGAATGCAGTGAAGCTTCCTAAGGTCCCCCTTTCACTGTTCCAGGTACCCAGGTAGATTTCCCACTGCCCTCCAATATGGGAATGCATCCTGTACAGATGCTGCATTTTATACTTTCAAGTGTTTTACAGGGTTCTAGTGAGCATAATGTAACAATCAGTGATTCAAACTTGTGCCAACACTCACTGATGCATGGAGTCCTCGTCCCCTAAAGTTCAAGACCGCTACCAACCCGCTTGATTATATGTTCTCACCGGGCCACTCTGCACACAGTTCAATTTTGCCAAGTGCGTCTCACTATTTGTCCATCTACTCCCTCTTAGAGGAGAAACCCATGGATTAGATCAATTTAATTTCTCCTACCGCCCCTCAAAGAACACCTCAAATGAAACCCCTCTCACCTCTCTCACCAGCCTACTTCCCCTTTTCTCCTTAATGTCAACATCCTTTACTGAAGTCCTGAATGATGAAGCTTTGTTTAGAACCCACCGTCACTTCCTCCCCAAGGTGGCGTCTAACTTCACATTAACTAAGAAACAGCATTTCCACCCTCACCCTGCACTTCTCACCATGACTACTTGTTTTCTTGGCCAAGAATCAAGTAATTCTGTGACCCAGAATAGGTCCTACAAAAACCCTATAATCAATCACATTTAAGGAGTTTGGTGGCCCAAATCCCTTCCACAAATTCCAATATGCCCTCAAGGATGAAAGCTTTTCTCTGAACTCTCCCAGCATGTCCTCCAGGGGTTGTGAAAATTTCCAGGGGCAATGCATACTGGAAAGAGCAAGTTTGTGACACCTGGGGTTTCCCCAATACTCCAAAAACACATCCTCACCTTCCCATCTATGATTCATATCCAGAATTTCATTCATGTACTTTAAATGGTCTTTGACTACCACAATCCCAAAACAGCCATTATATTTACCCAGTTCTCTTTCTGATCCCTGAAAGAGCTTAGAGAGGTCACTGAGAATAGAGGAATTGGTTGACTATTTGTGTCACTTCCAAACTGTTTTATATCCTTGGGAGAGCTGGCCATGGGAAGAGCAGTCATGAGGAAAGCTCTAAAAGGGAACTATTTGAATTTCAAAAATATTACTCAATGTGATCCCCAACTACTGAGGCATAATGAAAGAAGCAATATCAAATTTGTTACCATTATCAGAAGACTTTTCACTATGGCAGCCTAAGGAATAAGGAGGAAGGGAGGGGCAAGGGGAGCTTTTGGTGACTGTGTAGAAGTAATGGACCTGTAACAGCTACGGTGAAGAGAATGGAAGGGTACAGGAGGGTAACAGAGGGGCGAATGAGTTGTCTAACTCTGTTGGTTTTCCCTGTTCTGGGATTGAAATTCATGGAACCATAGTACTGGAAAGATCTTTAGAACATTTAGTCCATCCTTTCATTAAACAGATAAGAAAACTGAGGAGAAGCAGTTCTTATAAGGCCACACATTTAGTTAGTAGTAGAGTGAGGACAAAAGTCCTGTTCTCCAGGTGCCAGTCTGTAAGCACAGTTGCAGAGTTTAATATCTAGTTCTTCAATATCATTACTGATAAGATAGCATCGGGGTCTTGTATAAAGAGAAATGGAGTTGTTTTATTTTCGTTCCTCTTGTTTCTTCTTCCCCAGTCTCCACCTTTCCTTTTTTAGGTGCTGCTTCGATAAAGAGCCAAGCGTATTTCAACCAGACTGGAGAACTGCCATGCCTCTTTCCAAACTCGCAAAACATAAGCCTGGATGAGCTGGTACTATTTTGGCAGAACCAGGATAAGTTGGTTCTGTATGAGCTATACTTAGGCAAAGAGAACCCTGACAATGTTCATCCCAAGTATAAAGGCCGCACAAGCTTTGACCAGGACAGTTGGACCCTGAAACTCTACAATGTTCAGATCCAGGACAAGGGCTTGTATCAATGTTACATCCATCATAAAGGGCCCAAAGGACTGGTTCCCGCCCACCAGATGAGTTCTGATCTATCAGTGCTTGGTATGTAGTCAATGGCATGTTCAGATCCCTGGCCTTCTCAAATGAGACTGCAATGAGCAGAGAAATATTGGTGTTGGGAGGAGGGGACCTGTCGAGAGAAGGCAGAGGGCCGCCATTTCTGGGAAGTCCATCTGAAGGGAATGCAGAGTTTGGGAGTAGGGAACTGAAAGTCCTTTGTACTTTTTATAGTTTGCTTCTGAAGGATCAGAAAGAATCTGCCTTGGGGACAAAATAGAGCTAACTGACCAAAGGTAATGTGGCTAAGTGAAAACCATGGATAATTTGGCAATTACTAAGTTTAAATAACCATATAGGCCTCAAATCTCTTTTACATTCATTTTCTCCTTTGGTCCACAATTTCTCACCCACTAAAACTTTGCCTGGAGCTGCTAGCAAGGGTGATAGCTGATTGATTTGGGTTTTCCCTCCAACCTCCTGATGGTTACTTATTAGTTGTATTCTGCCCAACCATGAGCCCAGTAGACAGGAGGGAAATAACCCAGCACACACTATCCAAAAACTGGAAACCAGCTCCTCTGTTTTTCCAGGCCTTAAAAAACCTAGATCTCACTACAGGTTTTTTTTTTTTATTATAATGCAGTAAAATTAATTATTTTTATTTTGGTATACAGTTCTATTAACTTTAACTTATGCATAGATTTATGTAACCACCACAATAAACAGGATACAAATCATTTCCATCAGCCTAAAAGAATTTCCCCATCCTATCCCTTTATAGTCACACCCTCTCCATAACCATAACCCCTGTTTTTCATCCATAGTATTGTCTTTTCATCCTGCAGTATTGTCTTTTTGAGAACATCACATAAATGGAGCCATACAATACGTCACCTTTTAAGACTGGCTCCTTTTATTCAATATAATGCCTTTGAGATTCATCCAAGCTGTTACATGTATCAAAAGTCTGTTCCCTCTTATTACTGACTAGCATTCTACTGTTTATCCACTCAACCCATGGAAAGACGTTGGGTTGTTTTCAGTGTTAGGCTATGATGAATAGAACTGCTGTAAACATTCATGTACCAGTTTTTGTGTGAACATTAGTTTTCATTTCTCTAGGGTAGATACCCATGTATGGGGTTACTAGAGCCAGATTAACTTTTGTTGAAACTGGAAAAGGCAGATCAACATCAATTCTGAAACTACAGAGTAAAGCAGAGGCACAAGTAGAAATAGAAGGGAGAGTTGCTCCCTTTAAGCCCTATGTGATTCAAACTAGGCTGCAGGGCTGTGGGAACATTTAACCAAGCGCTTAATTGATGCTTACACAGTGTGGCCAGGCACCACTGAGGAACATGGTGTGTCTTAGGTGGGACACAATCTTTTTTTACTTTAGCAGTTTTAAATATATTTTAATGTGTATTAGGAAAACAATAACTATCGTATCCAACCTGTGATTTCTGCTCGTACAAGAAGAGTGCTTAAGTAGTGTGTTGATATAGCAAAATTTGTAAAGATGGCATGCAAATCACTCAAGTGCTAGAAATAATATGCTAAGTTATAAATTAGTCTGTAGACATCTCCAAACCACCTAGTGACGATGGAAGAAGAACAAGGGATTCGGCTGGCAGAGGACTAGGTGCCAGGCATCCACAACAGCCATAATAATCTGAATGGCAAAGCAAGGCAAGAGAAGCTTTGTGTTTATCAAGATCATATATTTTCCCTGAAAATGGTTGGGTTTGGCCTTCATCTTATAGTATATGATGAAGACACCTTGACAGTTCTACCCAAAACCAGTGTACTGAATTTCTAAATCCAAAACCCCCATCCATTCACGTACTATCACCCTGCTTGGGTTCCTGGAAGATACAGCCCAGAAGATACCAGTACCATGAACTCTGTTAATTCCTGGTGGGATTTTGGTCTCAATTCCTTCCTGCTGTCTTAGTTTGGTGAGCTGGAATGTATCCCATGCGACACTTGGGTCCTAAAGTCAGACCACTTCTCCTTCCCAAGACCCCACTGCCTAGAACAGTGGCCTCACTGTAAATCTTTGGTGACTCAATTTCAGCTCTCCTGTGGCTCAGAGAGTACCTCTTTGATTTGGGTAAGCAGGAAGTAAGCATAGCCCCAAACTCCATTCTTGAAAACTAAATATGAGATCATTATGTGACTCTCACCATGGGCTGAGGCCCAGGTGTGCCCCAAGTGAGTTCCCAGATCAAGTACCTAGTTATTTGCTGTCCTATTCTAGATACATCTAAATTTAGACTGATTTCTTTCTTTTTTTTTTTTTTTTTGGTATCTCTATTCTGCTTTCAGCTAACTTCAGTCAACCTGAAATCATGCTAATTTCTAATAGAACAGAAAATTCTGACATCATAAATTTGACCTGCTCATCTACCCAAGGTTACCCAGAACCTAAGAAGATGTATTTTTCAGTACAAACTGAGAATTCAACGACTAAATATGATGCTGTCATGAATAAATCTCAAAATAATATCACAGAACTGTACAACGTTTCTATCAGCATGTCTTATTCATTCCATCCTGAAACAAACAATGTGAGCATCTCCTGTGTCCTGCAGCCTGAGCCAACGGAGACACTGATTCTCTCTCCACCTTACAATATAGGTAAAGCTGCTTCCCAAGACTCTTTCTTTTATCAGGTATCATGTACAAATGGTTAAGGCAGATCATCCAATGTCTCCTGCTTACCAAGAAACCTCCAACTGGACCATTTTATGATACTGTTAGGAAGGACCCAGACAAAAGGCTCCCGCTTCATCTGAGTGCTTCAGGTCCAGGAGGCTGTGAACCTATGCTGCACTTGAGGAAGCGTGTTCTTAGCCCTGAAACTGACCCAGTTTTAGGGCACCTTTGGATAGAAGATTTTGAAGTTTAGGTCAGAAAATGCAGGATTCCTCCAGGCTAGAATCCTTCCATTGATTAACACACACACACACACACACGCACACACACATATCCCATGCATACTGCACTTGTTATGAGTTCAGAACCATTCTAGACATTGTTGGTTGCAGGGATGAAAACTAAAAGGTGTAAGAGATGCTCTCTGCCTTTGAGGACCTTCCAATAGTCAGAACTCCATGATGTACACTCATGGAAAACTGGATTTTAAAAAGATTGAATTCGAATATAAATTATATCCCATGGAAATATGTGACTAAATGTAAAACAAGAGTGACTGAGAATCAGTTTTATAGGCATTCAGGAGTGGGCAAGTTCCTTATGGGTCAGGGAGGGCTTCCTAAAGGAAGTGAGAACTTTTCACACCAGAGAAGAAATAATTGAGCTTAACAAGTGTGGTGAAGAGATGACAGGGACTCTAACTTGTGGTGGCTTCCTGAAGAGAAAGAAAATTCTGACACAGCATCCAGGCTTAGAAGGTGGGAGGACCAGAATCAATTAGCAGGATCTGATGTGGGCACAGGCGGTGGTAGTGGGCATCAGTGCACATGTGTCAAGGAAAGCCTCAGAAGCAGAAATGCTTGTGGCATGTTGACAGCATAGCACAGGGACCAGTCTAGCTGGAGCAAAGGGCTGAAACTAGGCAGTATCTATGAGCCTGCCATTTTAAAGTCCAGTCTTCGCCCTGGAGGGAATGCATCCATATTTGAGACACCACTTTTGAGGAGCAGTAACTGTAAGATTCTCTCGTGGAATAAAGGCACTCTGCACCCATGCTGCCCCCATCACTTCTTGTTCTGATCCTGACTACTCTCCCCACCCAAGCCTTCTGCTTGCCTTGGCCTCTCCCCAGCTCTGGCCCTTTGGTGTGCCCTCTTCTAAGGCATTCATCGAGCTCCTTGTTTCATCCTCTGGCTTTGCTGCCTCCTCACTCCTGGCATGTCATCGTTCAAACATAACTTAGCCTTAGCCTATGAACATATTCTTATGGACAGCCTCTGGGGCCAATCCCGACCAGCCAGCTTTACCAGTGGGCCAATCCTCTTTTCTGGTACGATTTTCTTCTGCTCAGACACCTCTGCCTCTGAGAGTCCAGTAAGTGGTGAGGCTGCCCAGCCTATCCTGGTTGTTTCTCCTGTAGCCTCTCTTAGCCTGATAGAAGCCTCTCGCAAGCTACCCCTGAAGTTCAGCTCCTCCTTGGAGCTACCAACATCACCACACATGACATGGCCTGGGGCCCTCTGCCATGGCTCCTACAATCTACAGATGAACAAGACCTGGCTACCATGATACCCTAATCACGGCTCACCTTTCTGCTGCTTCTCAACTACTGCCAAATCCTTCCCAGCTACCACCATATTCAGAAACGTTTCAGCTTTTGCTGCCTCAGGAAGACAGGGCTTGCCTCTCTGTGTCCCTACCCTACGGGATGATCAGTGATAGGTTAGAGTCTGAGTCAAGGAACCTTTTTGGGTATCAAAAGGTGACAGTCTCCATGTTAACAAGTCTAACCCCCCTCACTGGGAATGCCAAACAGGCTCAAGTGGGTAAACTGGGACAGATTCAAAAAGTGTTGAATATAGCCTGCCATGCCAACAGCTCCTTTTCCTAATGTGCCAGGAACAGGGTATGTGTCCACAAGTTGCAGCTAAGCTAATAGGAGGTCAGTTGGTTCCATTTTCCTGTAATTTGAGATTAACTATTAGAACTGTTCCTGTAAATGTCTATAAAGTGGGCCACTCAGTTCTAAGTTTTCCCCCCGAAGCTTGTTTTTCGACTTCCTAGAAACTTAGGAGTCCCCATACAAGGAAGTAAGTCCTGACCTCCCTGGAGCTGATTCTGACCCTGGTGCCTCAGGGCATGAAGAGATGACAAAGGTTTTCAAGTAGGTGAGACTTGATGAAAGCTGTGCAGGAGGAAAAAGAAACCAAACTAGAGGGAGGAGGCCTGTGAGGAGGCTGTCATATTTGTCCAGGTGAGAGGTGTCCAAGCCTGACCTAGAGAGGGCCGTGGGTGGAGGGATTAGGGGGCTGAGGAAGCGGGGCCGCACACAAACGGCTCATTCACAGCCTCAGCATGGGGACCTCACCCAGATTCCAGAACTAAGGGCCAAGTTGACACTCTTCTTCTAGAGCACCGTCATTGTCATCCCCGCTTTGGGAAAGGAAGGCAGCTCAGTCCAGGCATTTGGCCAGAGGCACAGGCTTGGTTCTTAGCTGCTGAGGTCCTAAGACTAGGACTTTGTATGGCCTCATATCGTGGATTTCAGACTCATCTGGCAGTAGAACCCTGGGGAGATGCTGGCATGTAAATAAAGAGAACAGCAGCAATTGTAAACCTTTTGTAATCCACCTTCTTGGCTGATTGAAAACTTGTCATTTCTAGGTACAAAGCCACGTGAGAAAGCCCGGCATGAACAAGACCACATCCGCTGGATTACAGCTCTACTTCTAATATTGATCGTTGTGTGCGGGATGGTGTTGCTTTTAACACGAAGGAAATGGAAGAAGAAGCAGCCTGGCCCCTCTCATGAGTGTGGTGAGTCATTGCTTGTCCTCTTTGCAGAGCATCACTTGCAGCTTGCTTCCTGATCAGCTGCCTTCTGGAGCTCGTTGGCTGAGTCCAGACTGGCAAAAAGTCAGCAAGTGGTTGGAGGAAAAGGTTTTCCTTCAGGGTTTGGAGCCTATATAGATGGGACTCAACTGACGATAATATTGCTGGGGATTTCTAGAAAAGGCATTTCTAACCTAAGGTTTACAAATGTTCTTTGGGTTTCCAGGCAAAGCTGATTATTCTTTGCTTTACCTACCTCACTTCATGAGGTTACTGTGAGAATTCCATGAAGTAAAACGGTGAAAACATTTCTAAATGTTAATGATTAGGGACCTAGTGGTATTCAAGCAGGGATACTGGATGGGGGGAGGGGAAGATTTGATGGCCATCAGATTTATCTTCTCATCTCTAAAAGTCTAGGTTGCCCGAGAAATAAGTTGAATGAATTGCTCCCCACTGACTTTTTAAAAGTAATTTTAACTTTTATTGATTACCAAGTATTACACACCCATTACCAAATGCACAAAAAATAAAAATCACCTATAGTTCCACCAGTAAGAAAAAAATGACTATGCAGATGACATTTTGGTGCATATCTTCAAGATTTTTCTATGTCTAAATAAATCTGTATCATTTCCATAAGTGGGATAATATTATAAGGACTCTTTTTCACAATTTGGATAATATCACATGTACCGTCTTCTAACTTTTTTATACTAAATGTAGCAAGAAAAATTTCAATGTCATTAATTATCATTCTACAGCATCATTTTTGAATGGCTGCAAGATAGTCCATTAAGTGGATACACTTTAATTTATTTAACCAACTCCACATTGTTGGACGCTTGGGTTGTTCCCTTAGTTTTGCTGTTGTGAGTAGCACTGCATCAAGCAGCCTCCTCATTCTGTCGCAAAAGTAGCATTGTGTTTAATGGGAGGCCAAGTAGTCTCTGACTTTATAATAATCCCATGCCCATTTGTGGGTTGGGCTGGTTTGGATGAAGTTGTAAGACAAGGTTGGACTCTACCTCAGTAATTGCCTCCAGTAGAAGTTTGGTTGGTGCTAATGATTAAGGTAACCTTCTTACTTATGATAAAAACACAAGATGAATAATGCTTCTGGTCAGCATCTTATTTAAGATTTCAGTGTACTGATTTTAAGATCTATCTAGAAAATAGATGGATGACATTAGCAGTCATTCATTTCATCCTGCTGTATTTTAAAAACAGGAAATTGGGGCATGATTACCCAATAAATTTCATATTTCAATAAATTGATACAAAGTGTATGGCAGAGCCATTCAAATTGCCAAAGTGCAGGATGTGCTGAGAGATTTCTATGATGTAAAACTGTAAATTCAGAGCACAGGGTCAGATGTTTGGCTATGTCATGCTTGTTGAGGTTTTGACTTTTCAAGGCGAGAGTTTTGAGCTTCTCTTTCTTTTGATCTCATTGTCATTTAGAATTTAGAATGTCATTGTCATTTAGAAAAATGTGCAAAAGCAACCTTCAGCTTGGGAATAAGCTGTCTCCTAAATTTGCTTTCACATTGGAATGATTATCTTACAAATGAAACAAAGAAGAAAGGATGGAGAAAAAGAGAGTAAGAATGTTTCTTCCCCCAAGAGGCAATCGGAAAAATTCAGGAGACTAGATAAGGGAGTTAAAGAGGATGTGTGTATACACATAAGAGAAGTTGGGAGGGGGTTCAAAAAGCTATGTGTGTGCATATGAGATGGTCAAACTGAGATATGAGTAGTAAAAGGCAGAAGACAACAAGAGATCATAGCGTATATATGTATGACCCCCCCAAGAAAGGAGATAAAGAATATTGGTGGGAAAAAGTTATTTGGTCAGTTACCTGTGCCAGTGAGTTTGGTCAAAGAGAAGAGCCTTGATATCACTGGAGGGAGGGAGATGTACCAAATAACCATGCCACATAGATATGAAATGTTTGTAAATTTGGGTTCTGTAACTTCAGCAATGTCTGCACTTGCTTTGTGAATACTTCCAGCATGGGCTATATGATAGGGAGAATAATGCCCCTAACAAGATGTCTACCTCCTATACTCCAGAATCTATAATATGTTATCCTACTTGGCAAAACGGACTTTGCATATGTGCCTAATGTACTGACTTTAAGATGATTGGATTATCCAGGTGGACCAATCTAATCACATGAGTCAGAGACCCTTTGCCAGCTGGGTTAGAAAGATGAGATGAAAGGAGGAGAGATCCAAAGCTTGAGACAGGCTCAACCCACCATTGCTGGCTTTGAAGATGGAGGAAGGGGCCACGAGCCAGGAAATGGGAATGGCCTTCAGCTGAGAGCCAGAAAAGAAATGGGGATCTCTGTCCTTCAACCACAAGGAACCAAATTCTGCCAACAGACAGACATGGAAGCAGACAGGATCCAGCCACAGAGACACAAGTAGGAATTTCTGCAACAATGGAGATTCCTCCTGACCCAATATTAGTCCTTTTTCTCAGAGGAGATAGCCCTCAAACTAACTGACTTGGCATAAAAAGTCCTTTCCAGTGTTTGTTCAGTAATTATAGTTTTTCTATGCCTCAACCATACATATTTACCCTGCTTAGGCTGTTAAATGAATAAAAGGGAAATGCCATGGTTATTCTGGCTGGTTTCTAATCTCTCTTCTCTTTTTTTGTTATGTCAAATAGGGCGGCTAAGGCATGAGAAATTGTAATCTTGAATTACGGTCTTTTCCCAATCAGAAGTTACCCTATCAGCTCACCCATTGGAGAGAAAGACCAAAATAGCTCCTCCTGAAGTTTTACTTCCTCAATGGGTCTTGTGTGACTGAAATCTGAATGTAATAGTGCCCCAGCAACCAACAGTTTTTACAACTTGCCCCACTCCACCAAACTTGGAAGAGTTTCAGCATTTTCAGGAATGATTTCTTAAAGGTCACATGTCTTTTCCAAAATAAATCATTTTTAACCACCATTTAAACAGAAACCTTCACGGGGCTTAAAAACGGAAAGTTGGTGATATCATCACATCTGCCCTTCAAAATGCTAAATTTGTAATTGAGTTCAAAAGTTTAAAATCGGCTTTTTTTATTATCTGCTTTCATTTTAAAATAGAAGCGTTTTTTTTTTTCTCTTGAAATGATGAGGATGAGGATGAAAGGCTAATATAATTATTCTGTGTTGGTCTGCAGGCATCTGAAATAGTGTATTCAGCTATAAACCCCACTATAGTTAAGAAGAACTTTGACAAAAATAGAACATAACCAGATTTATAAAGTGTCTGGAAGCTCAGTCAGATAAGAAATAGCTTAAGTAACTGAGGATGCTTAGGCAGAAAAAAGTCTTAGGGAGGACACCATGCTGCTTTCAAGTATCTGATGAGTTGCCATAGGGTACAAACGTCACAGTCAGCTGTGGCTCCAAAGGGCATCTCAATGGATGATGGTTATAAGAAGGTATAAGGAAATAAGAGAGACTTTTCTAACAATTAAAACTCTTTTAAAATTATATAGAAGACATAGACTTCTCCTTCCTCCCATGAAGCATTAACTGCTACAGAAATTGCCCTCCTGCTGTAAACAACTAGAAATCAGACAAAATAAATGAAACACTTTGGACAACAGGCTGCAGAAAACTATAGTCCCTGAGGAAGGGAAAAGATGAGGTGAGCCCTATGATTGCCCCCAATTGACTGCCTGAACTCAGTTTCCAGGCTGCTCTGAAGGCAGGGGGAGCCCTGATACCAAAGTTAGAAAAAGTCATTATGCTAAGGTTTTGTTTTTGTTTTTGTTTTTGTTTTAAAGATTGGCACCTGAGCTAACAATTGCTGCCAATCTTTTTTCCCCCTACTTTTTTTTCTCCCCAACTGCCCTGCCCCAGTACATAGTTGTATATTTTAGTTGTGGGTCCTTCCAGTTGTGGCATGTGGGACGCCACCTCAGCATGGCCTGATGAGCGGTTCCATGTCCCCGCCCAGGATCCGAACCAGTGAAACACCAGGCCATTGAAGCAGAGCTCGCAAACTTAACCACTTGGCCATGGGGCTGGCCCCAGAGAAAGTCATTACAAGAAAAGAAAACTACACACATCCCTTGTGAACATAGATGCCAAAATCCTTAACAAAATTAGCAACTAAAATCTAGCAATATATTAAAAGTATGATACATCATGGTCAAGTGGGGTTTATTTCAGGAATGTAAGGTAGGTTCAGCATCCAAGAATCGAGCAGTAAAACTCACCAAATTGACAGACTAAAAGGAAAAACCATGTGATCAGGTCATCAGACACAGAAAAAGCATTTGGCAAGATTAATACCCATTCAGAATTTTTAAAAAGAAAGAAAGAAAAACTCTCATAAAAGTAGGAATACAAAGGAAATTCCAAACCTGACAAAGGACATCTACCAAAATCCTTTAGTTAGTATCATATTTAATGATAAAAGACGGGTTGCTTTCACCCTAAGATAGGAATAAGGCAAGAATGTCACTCTCACTACTTTTGTTCAACACTGCAGTGGAGGTCCTAGCTAGTGCTAGCCAGGCTAAAAAAAGAAATAAAAGGCATACATATTGGAAAACTGTCTTTTTTTTTTCTTTCACAAATAACATGATCATGTTTGTAGACAAGCCTAAGGAATACGTTAAAAGCTATTAGAACTAATTGAGTGTAGCAAAGTCATAGGCTACAAGGTCAATACACAAAATCAAAAATCAATTATACCTCCATATACTAACAGCAAACAACTGGACACCAAAGAGAAATTTTTAATACCATTTACAATAGCATCGAATAACATTAAAGGCTTGGGCATACGTTTTTAAAAACAAGTACAAGACCTATAGACTGAAAACTAAAAAATGTTACTACTGACAGAAATTAAAGCAGACCTAAATAAATGGAGAAATAGGCCATGTTCATGGATCGGCAGACTAGATATTAAGATCCTAATCTCTCCAAATTAATCTATTGGTTCAATGTAATACCAATCAAAATTCTGGCAAGCTCTTTAGTGGCAATTAAAAAGCTGATTCTAAAAGTTATGTGGAAATTTAAATGCTATGCTTGCCAAAAGCGTTCTGAAACATAAGAACAAAGATGAAGGACTTATACTATCTAATTTCAAGATTTACTATACAGTTGTAGTAATCAAGACAGTGTAGTAATCAAGACAGTGTGGTATTCATGAAAGCACAGACATATCAATCAAGGGAACAAAATGGAGAGTCAAAAATAACCTCACTTGGTCAACTGGTTTTGACAAAGGTGCCAAGCAATTCCACGCAGAAAGGATAGTCTTTTCAACAAACGATGTTGGAACAGTTAGAGATCCACATAGAAAAATATGAATCTAAATACACAAAACAATAACTTGAAATGGATCATAGACCTAAATACAAGAGCTAAAATTAAAAGACTTTCAAAAGAAAACAGGAGAAAATCTTTGTGACTTAGGTTAAGCAAATCTTAGAGAGGACACAGTAAGCACAAACCATATCATAAAGAGATAAAATTGATAAACCAGACATCGTCAAAATTAAAAACTTTTGTCCTGTGACTTTTTTAAGAAAATGAAGTCAAGCCACAGATTGAAAGAAAATGTTTGCAAAATATATATCTGATAAAGGACTTATATCCAGAATATATAATTATATATTACTACTCGGTAATAAGAGGACAATCCATTTAACAAAAGGTGGAGAGCAAAAGACTTGACCAGATAATACACAAAAGAAAATACACAAATGGCCATAAGCACAGTCACACAGTCACAGCATCATTAGTCATTAGGGAAATAACAAATTAAAGCTAAAATTAGATACCACTACACACCCACTAACATGGCCTGATAAGTATCAAGTGTTGGAGAGGCTGTGAAGCAAATGAAATTCTCATGCCCTGCTATACCACCCAGCAATCCTAGATATTTACCCATGAGAAATATAAACAAATGTCTGCACAAAGACACACACAAATGTCTATAGCAGCTTTCTTCCTAATACTGAAAACCTGGCATCCAGAATTTTCATGACTTGGGGAGTGGGTAAATGAATGGTAGTATATTCATATAATGGAATACTGCCGAGCTATAGAAAGGAATGGACTGCTGGCGACATAAAACAACATGGATGAATTTCCAAAGCATTATGTTAAGTGGAAGATGCCAGGCACAAAAAGACAACACAACATATGGTCCTATTTATAATGAATTCTAGAAAAAACAAAACTGTGGCGACATTAAGCAGGTCAATGGTTACCAAGGGATGGGATTGGGGAAAGGGATTTATTGAAAAGGGGCAGGAGTGAAATTTCTGGGCTTATATAAATGTGCTACATCTGCATAAATGTTCTAAATATAAAAGTTCTACATCATATGTATGGTTATGGTGGTAGTTACATGACATGCATTTGTTAAACTCACCAAAATCTATATGGAAAATGACTGGATTTTGTTGTGTATTAATTATAGCTCAATAAAGCCGATTATTTTTTTATTTTTTAAAGATTTTATTTTTTCCTTTTTCTCCCCAAAGCCCCCCAGTACATAGTTGTATATTCTTCGTTGTGGGTTCTTCTAGTTGTGGCATGTGGGACGCTGCCTCAGCGTGGTCTGATGAGCAGTGCCATGTCCGCGCCCAGGATTCGAACCAACGAAACACTGGGCCGCCTGCAGCGGAGCGCGCGAACTTAACCACTCGGCCACGGGGCCAGCCCCTAAAGCTGATTATTTTTAAATGTACACACATACACACAAACGAGAACTGCCAATGATAGGAAGTGTTCAAAACCAACAGAGATGTTGAGTGGATTCCTGTAGTCCTTAAATGCCTCCATGGATACCCTTGCTGTGAGGCTCTGCATGGAACAATAACACTGTCACATTAGTCAGCCTTGAGGAACTTCCACCCCAGGCTGCATCAGTACTTAAGTCCATACCAATAGCAGCTCAGGCTTGGGAGGTCTAGCCAGCCAGAGATTTCCCACTTGGGCCCATCCATGCAATATTGTGTAGTATCTGGTAACGCCAGCTGGCTAAGCCATTTAGGCGTCAACATCTTTAAGATTTCCTTTTCCTCCTCCTCCTAAACCTTACTTTCAGAAAAGGATTGGAAACTCTTTTCCAATCACTAAATGATAGCTGAAACTAAATGCGTTACCCCTCCCAGCAGTATTTTTATTTTAGCAAAGAATAGAGCTGTAGGTGAAAAACATATTTCCAGCATTAGAACTTAAGGCACCCTGAGCAAAGGAAAGCATTTACTTTTTGGATGCAAGGAGCCCCTTCTCAGTCCCCCCGAAATCGCATCAAGTAACCATCTATTCCCATTTAAGGCCACAGTGATTTCTCTCTGAGTCCTTAGGACTTTGGAACGTCTTCAAACTTTCCCTCTTTTAGTATCTATGGGCAATATATTTTCTGATGTTGTTTTAGTCTCTTTCAGAAACCATCAGAGTGGAGGAGAAAGAGAGTGAACAGACTGAGGAAAGGTGAGTCCTGACCCAACAACATTGTTGAAAGAGGTACGATCCTTAGAGGGTCAGAAGCTTGAATAGGCTTCAATCTGAGGCATGCTGAGATCCCAACAAACACGAACTAATGGAGAGGGAAAGGAAAGTGAGACTAGTTAGGACCTGGAGGGAAATGTCCTAGCTGTAAATGGAGGGCAGGGTGTCCAATGCACACTGCCCAAGGGTCGTGGCAAGCTCAGTCATGGTCAAGTAAAAAACCAGTACCAAAGGGATCTGATGTGGTATGCATGGCTGCATCTTATTTACCATGGTAACCCCAGTACCTAGTACAGTGCCTGGACCAGGGGGTGTCCTACATGTGCAGAATGAATAAATGAGGAGTGAGAACAGGCTCCCTTTAGCCTCAGTGTCTTTGCATCTGCTGTGCCCTAGACTTGGAATGCTTTTCTGCCACTCCTTCACCTCATTGTTCAGACCTTAGCTCGAGCTGCACTTTCTTAAAAACCCTTCCCCAAGTAGATTATGTCAGCCTGTTAGAGTGTCATGTGGGTCCCTGTGCTTTTTCTTCACCAGGTTATACTTACATATTTGTGTAATTATCTGATTAAACTCTATAAACTGAACTAAACTGAACCCTGCAGAGGGCAGGGACCATGTCAGTTAAGCTCAGCATTGTGCTGCCAGCACCTCGCACAATGCCTGACATTTGGTAGCTGCTCAATAAATACATTTTTTTCTATTATGAAATCGCAGCAGCAGATATATTTGAATCTACAGAAAGCAGCCTTTATTGTAATCCTAACAATTTTCTGTAGTTATCATTTTCCTGGTGTCTACTGGTTGAGAGATGATAGGACTTACTCATAGAATCTACACTCTAGTGGTTTGATAAATATATACCATGTTAAAAGAAGTTGCAGGGAAAAGTAAACGCCATTCATCAGGGCTTTAGTTTCTCTTACATTTCCTTTCAGCTGAGAAATGTTATAAGTTGTTTATTTGATTTTTACTTATTTTTCATTTATTTGGTTGTCTTGCTAGATGCTTTAATAATCAAATCCAAATAAGAACAGCACTTAAGCACCCCTCAATATGGCATAGGGAGACATGGGTATATCTTGTTCTTTACGTTATCTTTTGTTCACATATTAAGAGCTATGGAAGGCAAAATGCGGGACAGTGCTTTAGTTTGTCTTTTTTAAGAGTTCTAGTTTTCAGGATTTAAAACAAAATCAATTTATTTAAACTAAAAACACAAAACAAAAACAGTTCACCCATTTTTGCCACCTGCCTCCCCTGTGTCTGGCAGCTACCAGTCTGTTCTCTATATCTATGAGATCAATTTTTTTTTAATTTTTAGATTCCATATATAAGAGAGATCATACAGTATTCATCTTTCTCTGCCTGACTTATTTCACTTAGCATAATGCCCTCAAGGTCCATCCACGTTGTTGCAAATGGCAAGATTTCATTCTTTTTATGGCTGAATAATATTCCATTATATATATATATATATATACCACAATTTCTTTATCTATTCATCCATCAATGGACACTTAGGTTGTTTCCATATCTTGGCTACTGTAATAAATATCTGTTGAAAGAATGAATGTGTGCATGAAGGAATACGTGAAGATTCCTGGTGCTCAGTCCTTTCACAACATGATACAATCAGATTGTCTGTACCTCCAACCCCCACTGAGGAACTGGGCTCTCAAGAATATCAAGGCTCTAGCCACACAGTCGTAGGGTCAACGCAACCCTAAGTCAAAAGCTTGGTCACAGAGACACAGTCATGACCCCAAGGTGCATAGCCCCCCAGAGTGCCCAGCACTTATCTGGATAATCCAGCCGCTGAGAGTCTAGGAATCATGGATGGTGAGCCCAGTGCTGAAATCTTGCCTGTGCTGGTAGACCCAGCTCAGAAATGGTCTGGAAGAGGCTGCAGAGGGAAGGCAGCAAGGAATTAGCAAAGGGCAGGGGCAGGCCCAGACAAAAATAAAAGGTAGTTATTGAAGGAAGCATGGACAACGCCTCTCTTGTCAATAGTTCATTTCTTCTCCTTGCTATTCGTTGCTGTTCTAACAGCCCCCTATATTCTGCCCTACCATTGAAATCTAGAAAAAGAAAGTGGCTCTGCTGTGAAATCTCACCCCATTCTTTTTCTATTTTTCCAGAGTAGAAAATCCTGAAATATCCGCTGAAGTTCAGTGTGGTGGTAATATTTTGAAGACGACTTCAGGCGACTAAAGTACTGCACATTTTTAATTAAAGAGTAAAATTCGTATGACTATCCATTTTTTATATGCTTTCTTTTTCCAGTTTTTGGCTGATGTTTTTCTTGTCTCTAAACCTTCCCGGAAGGCAAGAAAATATGACCATTAATAATAGTGGGGGCTCCAGGACTCCCGCTAAGAGAAATCCTGCCCATAACACCAGCTCTGCTCCCCAGGCCGGAGCGGATTTTAACTGCTTCTTTTCATTTCCGAGTATATTTGTGGGCCTAGCCCACCTTACTGGTTCCTGGCCCAGGAGTAATGTTTAAGACTAACACCTCATGTTTGCAATTCAGCCTCTTTTCTTACTTTTATAAATTGTCTTTTATGTAGAACTCCCAAATCCTAGAAGAGTGGATTTCATCTACTCTGAACTCTTAGCGCCTCCTTCCATCTTGTATACCTGTGACTGAATACCTACCTCTTCAGTCTGGCTGGGAGTTATATATTTTAAACCTTTATAGTGTTAATATTAATATTTTGACATATAAAGAAATGTGTACTATAATAATGTAATTACTATGCCCTGAGAAGAGTCCACCCCCTGCTAAGGAGTTCTTGTCCCTCTGTGAGGGTCAGTAAGGAAAGCAGTGGCCTACTGTGCTCAACAATGAGCAGACCAACTCAAAATTTGGAAAATTAGGAGAGACAGAGATGGAACCAACTCTGGATCCTGGAGCCATTTCTATCTGAGCTGTTGCTAATATTGAGCAGGATCCACCTGCCCAACAAGCTATTGATAAGCCTTAGCAGAGAGCATTGGATAAAGCAGGAGAGCACTATGTATCATGAACCCTACTTCTCTTCTTGAGAAAAATGACGGAGGTGATGGCCTGGGGCAAGTGTGCAAGAGCCGACAGAGAGACCATGATACTCAAAAGAGAAAAAAAAAAAAGATCTTGACCAACAGAAATACATGTGAATGTCCAGTCTGTCCAGCCCTTCAACAAGCCTTGGAACAAGCACACATGGACAATCTGTCCAAATGGACTTAAGACAGACAGCAGTTTCCCTGGTGGCTGGTGAGAGGTTTTGATGATACCCAAGTTCTTGTGATGTTTTTTCTGTCTGGAAGCAGAGCTGGGGAGGATGAGCCATCATCCTGAGAATAGGATGCATGGAAGGAGGCTTAGGACTCTTTCAACTAATTGCTAAGAGAGAAAGAGCTGGAGTGGCATTAGGAGGATCAGGATGCAAACCCTCCAGAGGCTGACTTAGCCTGCAGATGTCCTAAGGAGGTATCAGCTGGCCCAGAGCAGGACTAGCGAACTTGTGTCTGAGGACCGTTTTTGTATCATTCTCAATGATGGGAAAACTGGACATAGGCCAGGAACATACCAGCCCAGGAGAAATGAGTTAGGAGACCCTGGCTCTAACGCAGCATCACTAAGGGATGGAGCAGCCTCAGTTCAAACCGAAAGAGAACTTGTGGAGGCCAAAGCTACAGAAATAGTTTTTACTCCACGCAAAGGACCCTAGAGGGTTGTAGACAGCTGTGCTAGCCATGCTCATCCTTGTAATATTGCCATTTATGTGTTCCGCCCTGCCCCTGCTTTCATTAGGTTCTAAGCACTTTGCTGGTTCCTAACGTGTTTTGTACAGAGTTTTCAATAAATTTTTATTAAATTGATTTAGAAGTCTACATTTTCTGCTTCTACTTCAACAGTACTACTTAACTCTTGTAGTCTGATGTTACTCTGTCCTCCTGATGTACTCCCTTCCTATTAACGTCTCTCGGGAGGCCCCTTTCCCCAGTCCCCCTGGCTGGAAACCTCTGACTCATCCCACGCCCTCTCCTCCTCCCTTTCCCCTGACCATCAGATAAGAAAGGGGGCGTACATGATTCTATATGTTTACTTCAGTAATGAGAGATAAAAAAGTCAGGTAAGAGAGATCATTTTTGGGGGAAACTGGGAAATTTAGTGTTAAGGAAGGGATCTTGCTTTTTCAGTTTGTAATCTTTCATACTGTGTAATTTTAAAATTATGTGATTGTACATAAACAAAAGCTTAATGTAAAAATATTCCTTGAAAATACCTTGATTATAAAGTAAATGCATATAACTGTTTTATATATTTGAATGTTGCTATGAGAATGGATCTTAAAAGTTCTTATCACAAGGAAAAGAATTTGTAACTGTTTGGTGATGAATATCAACTAAACTTATTGTAGTAAACATTTCACAATATATGCATATATCAAATCATTGTGTTGTACACCTAGAATGAGTACAATGTTGTATGTCAATTATACCTCAATTAAAAGTAAATAAATAAATGGGTATAGGAGCCGGCCTGGTGGCGCAGTGGTTAGGTTCGCACGTTCCGCTTCAGCGGCCCGGGGTTCGCTGGTTCGGATCCCAGTTGCAGACATGGCACTGCTTAGCAAGCCACGCTGTGGTGGGCGTCCCACATATAAAGTAGAGGAAGATGGGCATGGATGTTAGCTCAGGGCCAGGCTTCCTCAGCAAAAAGAGGACTGGGAGTAGTTACCTTAGGGCTAATCTTCCTCAAAAACAAAAAACAAAACAAAACAAAAAAATAAATGTGGATAGATAGATAGATAGCATGTGAGGAGAGCCAGGGAAATTCTGGAAAAAAGAAAACTGTCTGGGCTCTGTGAGGGCAGGGATGTGTCTTACTTCACCAACGGATCCCAGGCACCTAAGATAGTCCCTCAAAATTATTTGTTTAAAGATTGAATAAAACATTAACATGCCCTCTGGTGAAAACATCCTTCCTTTGTATGTTAAATTCTCTGAAATTTCTGTATTCCAAATTTGGGGGAAAGAAAGCCAAGAAAAGTTAAAATAGGTCATTGGGTAAAATAATAGTACTAGCTAACATTACTGGTGTTTACTTTGTACCAGGTACTCTTCTAAACCTTTTACCTCATTATCCCCTTTAATCTTCACAATAACCTGTGATGTAGGTCTTGGGATATTCCGCCCATTTTGCTGATGAGGAAACTGAGGCACAGAGAGGTCAAAGTGATTTACCCAAGGCCGCTAACTTTGTAAGTGGCAAAGCTGGGGAAAATTTTGTGAAGTATCACCCCCTCCTCCCCTTCATTTCCCAGCCTGGTATTTTCTGGCCATAGAAGAGCCAGCATTGCGGTTGGTTGCAGGTTGAGTGCCTACACTGTATCTTGCACTCCACCACCTCAGCCCTCCAAGTTGGCGCCTCCAGAGGACCCTCAATGAGTTTTCCAGAAACCATGCCGTTGTTTCATAAGGCCAGAAGCTGTGGAAGATAAGGCATGTGATATCACCAGCGAAAAGGAGTTTTCAGTCAGAGGAAAAGTGAAGTACACTTGCTGCCTCCAGCTCCTCCCACGGTGCCCCCGACGCTTACTCTTTTGCAATCCACCCTCCTGCCCCTGCCATCCTGAAGCCAGTCTCGTCCACTCAGCATCCTCATATTCGTTAACCCAGGCTAGAAAGCAGAGTCATCTCTGACTACTGCCCTCTGACCTTCCCCGCAGCACCCACTCCCCGGCCCACCCTCCTGCCACATTTGGAAGAATAGGCAACTATTCTTCCAGCTTTAGCATCCACCCCTTCTTGTCTCGTTCAGGCCCTTATTTCTTCATTCCGAGAATGTGATAATCACCATCCAACTGATCTCAGTCTACCGTCGAGTCTACTATACTACTGCACAGTGTGTGTATACATTAGATACATGCATATAATGTGTGTCTACTTATACATACATATACATACACACATGATAAATATCTGTGTGTGCATATTTTTCCCCTTATTCAGGCAGATTTGGTTTTGTTCTACACCTAAGCAACCTAAACATAAGGCTCTTGCTAAGACGATTGAGAGACACCAGTCTTTTGTGTAATTCTTGTTATTAAAAACATACTTTTTCTTTAAATGACTTTATTGAGGTCATATTGGCTTATAACATTGTGTAAATTTCAGGTGTACGTTGTAACATTTCATTTTCTGTATAGACCACATTGTGTTCACCATCAATAGTCTAGTTTTTATCCATCGCCATTCATATATGCCCCTTTGCCCCTTTCGCCCTCCCCCCGTGCCCTCCCCCCCGGGAATGACGAATCTGTTCTCCTTATCTGTGTTTGTTTATCTTCCTCATATGAGTGAAATCATATGGTATTTGTCTTTCTCTGTCTGACTTATTTTACTTAGCATAATACTCTCAAGCTCCATCCACGTTATTGCAAATGGCACGATTTTATCTTTTTATGGCTGAGTAGTATTCCATTTTGTTTGTTTATCTTCCTCATCTGAGTGAAATCATATGGTGTTTGTCTTTCTCTGTCTGACTTATTTTACTTAGCATAATACTCTCAAGGTCCATCCATGTTATTGCAAATGGCACGATTTTATCTTTTTATGGCTGAGTAGTATTCCATTGTGTGTGTGTGTGTGTGTATATATATATAAAACATCTTCTTTATCCATACATTCATTGATGAGCACTTGGGTTGCTTCTACTTCTTGGCTATTGTGAATAAGGCTACAATGAATATAGGGGTGCGTAAATCTTTTTGAATTACTGATCTTATGTTCTTTGGATAAGTACTCAGTAGTGGAATAACTGGTTCATATGGTATTTCTATTTTCAATTTTTTCAGAAATCTCTGTACAGTTTTCCATAGTGGCTGCACCACCAGCAGTGTATGAGAGTTCCCTTTTTCCACATCCTCTCCAACACTTGTTATTTCTTGTCTTGTTAATTATAGTCATTCTAATGGGTGGGAGGTGATATCTCACAGTAGTTTTGACTTGCATTTCCCTAATAATTAATGATGAACATTTTTTCAGGTGCCTGTTGGCCATCTGTATGGAAAATGTCTGTTCATATCCTCTGCCCACTTTTTGATCAAGTTGTTCATTTTGTTGTTGTTGAATTGTACAATTTCTTAAAATATTTTGGAAATTAATCCCTTGTCATATATAGAATTTGCAAATATTTTCTCGCATTTGGTGGGTTGTCTTTTTGTTCTGTTGATGATTTCCTTTACCGTGCAGAAGATTTTTAGTCTGATGTAGTCCCATTTGTTTATTAAAAAATACTTCTCTATTGTATCAGTTTTCAGTCTCAGCCATATGCCAATGTTATTGGGGATCTTATAATAAAAATGAGCTTCCATCGGCTTTCACCATGTCTGCCTGTTAGTCCAGGAAAAAAATACTTACAGATAATGGAGTCCTGCGCGGTCTTTAAAACAGATTTTTGAACCTGCTCCAATCTGAACAAGTTACACCCTAGGACTGGTGAACAGCAGTCACCCTGAACTGGATCTCCTGTTTCCTGCATTTCATATATTTGTCTTTTTTTATTTAATCCTTCCCTTTGGTGGTACATATCCATGAGTAGCCTTCTAAGAAAAGATATGTGGGAAATAAATTTAACAAGATTTTGTGTATCTGAAAATGTCTTTATCCCACTCTCCCGCTGAATTGATCATTTGGCTTGATATAGAATTTTGGGTTAGAAATCGTTTCCATTGCCTCTAGCTTCCAGTGTTGCTCTTGAGAAATCTATAGATATTCTGACTCCTTATCTTTTTCTGTGGAAGGTTTTAGGATCTTCTCTTTATTTCTAGCATTTGCAAATGTTGTAACAAAATGCCTATTCTGTGATTTGTACTGAGGTGGACTTTTCTATCTGCAAATTTATATTCTTCACTCTAGGGAAATTTTCCTGAATTATTTCATTGATTATTTTTTCCCCTCAATTTCTCTAACCTCTCATTCTAGGATGTTGGATTCTGATGCTGGATCTCCTAGACTGATCCTCCTATTTCCTTATCTTTCCCTCCTCTTCTCCATCTTTTTGTCTTTTGTTCTATCTCTTGAAGATTTCCTCAACTTTATCTTCCAAACTTGCTGTTGTATTTCTTTATTTCTGCTATCATGTTTTAATTTCTAAGAGTTCTTTTCTGTTCTCTGAATGTTTCTTTTTGCAAGGAGTCTGTTCTTAATGGTTGCAATATCATTTCTTAAGTCTCTGAAGATGTTAATGATAAGTTGCTTGTTTAAGATTAATACTTCCTCCCTTGTCTCTGTATCCTTCCAGTTGTTTCTTTCTGTTTGTTCACTTTGGTCTACATCATCCATGTTGGAAGATTCCTCAGATGTCTGATCATCCTTGATTGTCTGTTCATGATTAAGAGTGAGGAACTAAAAATCTGTTTGGAGGATCTGAGTCTATGGACGGGCTTGTTAACTTTAGCTTTACAGAAAGGGATCTGGGTGGGTCTTTTTTGGGAAACCATCTTTAGGTCTTTCTTCTTGGGCTGGTATTTTTCTGGTATCTTGCCTGGAAGGTGGAAGTCTGGCTGTCAGCATTTTGGGAGCCAAGTGAGAGAAGAGGAGTTTGTATGTGCACGTGTGTGTGTGTGTGTGTGTGTGTGTGTGTGTGGTAGTGCTGGGGTCTCTGCAGTCTTTTTTCAGCATGCATAAATTTACTTAATCCATGTGTTTTCAGTATGGTAACTCTACCCTCAAATGTGTGACATGTCTCCCAATTCAAACACTTTCTGCTTTAGCCTCTCTACAGAACCAAACTCCAGACCTCTGCCAGGGTGGGAGAGGGGGTGGTGTGGAGTGGGAAAGGAGAGCTTAGCTCTAACTGCTTTTCAAACAAC